AATGAAAAGGAAAAGAAAAGAGGAGAAAGAGAGAGAAAATTGGTCCGCGATGGGTCCGACCAGTTCCAATTTCCATTCTGTGTGATCAAAATAATAAAAGAACAAACGGATTAACGAACCAATACCTTTGAATGAAACTAATAAAAGAAGCAACGACTAATCCGTCACGGAATAAATCCCAAACTAAAACATCGAGACGGAGAAATGTGAAAATCGAAGAATAAGAGAAAAAGAAAAATCAAACGATCGTATTTTTAGCAAACGCATTTTTTACACTTTTATAAGCCCGATATTTTACTAATACATATTCTCTCGAATTTATTAACATTGATAATACGTTTTAGAAATTTGTTTAGAAAATTTCTCGAGTTTGTATTTTATCGAATTTCCAAGGATAATATTGATAAACCAATTTCTCATCGATATTGTATTAAAAACGAAGAACGATAAAGTATATCGGATATAATATTATAGAAAGACGATAAAGAAAAGAAATAAACTCCGTTAATGCTCGATGAGATAGCAAAAGCTGACGTTCTCATTACGTTTAGGCAACTTTATCGGACTAAAGTCACTACGTAGAATCAGTTGTGTATGTAGGTAATTTGTGTCTATGTATGAGTGTCTTTCAGTACCAAATGAGAAAAAGAAAGAGAAGCATGTGCGTTTCGTAGGACGACGTGAAACATAGGCGTGGACAAACGAGCGGAAAAATGGCGGGGTTTGGAAATGAGATTTGCTGGTAAACCGACAATTTATCGTAGGTATCTGCGAAAGCATCTCTTGACGTTTCTCTGACCAGAGTTATAATTAATACGCTCTCGTCACAGAGCGCGCGCTTCGACCAATATTCCGTGGGACGAGCGTTCTCTCACACACACATACACACGTACGCTAACATACATACGTACATACATACATATATGTGCACGCACACATGCGCGTATACGTGTACGTATAGATAGACACACGAGAGAACATATATATTCATATGTCGGAGAACGTTAACACATACATTTGAAGCGTACGCACATACATATACAGAGGCAAGGGTCTCTAACAACACGCGAGTGACGTCGCACGCGCGCAGACCGACGCGTAACCGGTTGTTGATTAAGTTTGAATGACTGATGCCGCAAAAACACATTAAAACTTGAATGAGTACAGATGAAAATTTAGTCGCTAGGAATCAAGAGACCGCAGAGGCAAATGGCCTGGCAGCCGCACATAGTCCACGGCTTGTGGACCCTCCTTCTCTCTCTATCTTTCTCTGTCTCTCTCTCTATGTCTCCTCTCTCTCTCTCTCTCTCTCTCTCTCTTTCTCTCTATCTCTCTTTACCTCCTTCCTCTCTTTCACGCTCTTGCTCGAATACCTATCGAAATATTGGCAACCGAAAAACGCTCACCGATTGCTATATCCGCTGTTGGGCAACCGTTTCGTCTGGCTGGTCCACCGCAGCGGAAACAGAACGTACACCACCGCGATGGTTTACAACCATAACTTTTTCGTCGAGAAGATCGAGAATGATCGATTTTCAAAGGATAACTTTTCGATTGGTATAAATATACTTCGAGCTAAGAAATTCAGCTTCTTCAACTTTAAAAACGAATGATATCACTCACTGGATCTCCATCTATCGGGGTTAGACATTACTTTCGACGAATCAAGAAACTATTCGAATCGTAAGACCTTAATTGGCCGGACACTCGTTTCCTTCGTCGATGATGGTTCTCCTTTTCTATCTATCTATCTATCTATCTATCTATCTATCCTTCCCGTTTGTCTCCAAATCGGGTATATACCCACGAGTCTACCAAGAATCCCATCTGCATTCGGTTACGAGCACGATCCATCTTGCGGCAGCGAGAACACGTCCCGTGGAATTCTCTCTCTCCCTCTCCTTTTCTCTCTCTCTCTCTCTCTCTCTCTCTCTCTTTCTCCCTCTCTCTTTGTCTTTCATCCCTTCTACTCGAAACAATTGACCACTCTGGGACGATCAGTTCGATCTCGTAGTCTCGTAAATACATCGTCGAATCCGATGGCTCGGCCATCGAAAAGGATGGAATCCGATCGAAATGGACGCCGCCATCATTGCCATCTCGAGATATCGTCTACCTTTCGAAAGAGATGATCGTTTCTCTCTAATAAAAATCGTCAACCGGATCGTAGCTCACGCTACCGATTACTACTACTACTACTACTACTACTATTACTATCTCTCTCTCCCTATCTCTCTCTCTCTCTCTCTTTCCTTCCCTCTCTCTCTCTCTCTCTCTCTCTCTCTTCCTTTATCTATCTATCTCTCTTATTCCTTACTCTCACTTTGCTTACAATCCATCTCCCTTTCTCCTTCTCTCTAATTCTCCAATGTCCAATCGGAGTCTACCATCGGCACTTAATGTATTCAAATGTAAGCGGTAGTAGTGTTTATGTCTTGACATTGCAAATTGTCCTGGCTATGCCATAACTTATAGTAATCGCTGCGCGCCGGAGTAATTATTTATACTCTGTGATATAGCGTACACAGGGTTTCGTACTTCGGGTTATTCTCTGTCTACGTAGGAAGAATGTATATGAATAGTACATATCTACGTGTGTTACGTGTGCGTACTTACGTGCGTGCGTGCGTTCATGCGTGCATGCGTGCGTGCGTGCGTGCGTGCATGAGAACGTGAGAACGAATAAGAAGAGAGAGAGATGGTTCGACGTGTGCGTGAAGAATATCTACGTTGGTTAGACGTACCGAGCTTGATATTAATCTCCAATCTGCACGCACGAATCGGGCGACTTCGATGCCACGCATCCAACGACGGAACTCAAATCGATGTACATACGCCGGAGGAAATTTCTTTGAGTTTAAAGCAATGCTCTTTTTCTTTTCCTTTTTTCCTTTTCTTTTCTTTCTTTTTTTTCTTTTTTTCTTTTTCTTCTTTTTTTTTTTTTCTTTTACGCTTACCATACTGTCTTCATTTTTTTTCTTTTGAAAGGGATAACGAATTCGTTGTGTCTCGCTTACACAAGTAACTTTGTCGTATTTTTTCTCTCTCTTTCTCTCTCTTTCTCTCTCTCTTTCTTTCTTTGTCGTACCTACTAGATACGATCATTAACTCTCTATCTCACTTTATTCGTGTGTAATATAATTTATTTTCATCATTATCCTTATCTTCTTCTTTCTCTTTCCTTCTCAATTTTAGCATTTCTTTTTCTTTTTTATTCCTTTAAATCGTTCGATTGATAATTAAGTCAATAATGTAAATAGAGATATTAATGTATTTCTTTGATAAATGTTAATATGTTGATCGATAGACAATATTTTGTTAATGTTATATTGGTGTGATTTTATTTTGAAAAGAAATTAATTATTTTTCTTACGATATACTTTTAACATTCGTTTTAATTATAACTCTAGAAGTTAATATTCCATATTATTTAAATTTGTTATAACGATGATAGAATGTTCGAATTGATAATATTTGTATTAAATTTTGACGTAGTTCTCATTTAAGACGATTGAAATTTGAAAAATCCCGGCAAATATCAGCGTCGGACGTATACTGATGCCATCTCTCGGGTTGCGTTGATACTTAGCGTTTTGATTCATATAAATCGTTCGAGAAGTCACATTATTAATTGGTCTTACTTTTCTTTTTCCTTTATTTTTTTTTTTTTTTTTTTTTTTTTTTCTAAAGAATTAATTATATAAGCATGCAAAATTTTGTATAATTAGGATATATAAAAAGAATGTCAAAGAGATGAACGATTTAATATAACGTGATATTATTGATCGATACTTGATTGTCGACGAAGTTTCGTTGAATAGAGAGTTTTCTTCTTCTTTTTCTTCTTCTTTTCTTTTAAAGCAATGAAGTGGTCATTGAAACGACAAAGATAATAAAATAAACTATTTCTCTAGACGATAAACACGGACTTGAATTTCTTGAATAACGTTTATAAGAGGAAAGTAGCGAGTATCCGAGGTTTCTGTCGATAAATCAGTTCAAGCATTGAGTCGATGAGAACGAGGGGTAGTTTTGCGGTGTAACAGGTGGTTGAAATTCTCGTTCGCCTGTACCTTTTTACTCCTTTATCAGCAAAAAAAGAAGGAATAAGTTCCAGCTTATGAACCGGAGCGCGTTTAATGCTCCTTAAAAGGGTAAAGCGTCTCCCGCCCGATAACTTTTTCAACAAAGCCGATGCGAAACTCTCTCTCCTTTTTTTTCTTTCATTCATTCTCTCTCTCTCTCTCTCTCTCTCTCACTCTCTCCCTCTCTCTCTCTCTCTCTCTCTCTCTCTCTCTCTTTCTCTCTTTTTACCGTGAAAATTGTCTATACGCTTAGAAAAGAAATATTAAGTAGGACATTAATTTTATAAACTTTTCGCGAGCTAATAAAAATTATGCGGGCGAAAAACTTGACTTTTGACAAATAGTTTATTTCAATATTATAATATTTATCACAAACTCTTAATACTATTCGTGCTTATAAAGATAAACACCATGACTTCCTCTAATCTCACAATATTTAATCCTAAATTAGAAAGTAAATTAAATTAAACTGTCAACTATTTACAGAATTATACACAAGCGAGGCTTAATATGAGATTTAATTGATATTTTAAAGATTAGAAGTATGTATGTTATCCAATTACCAAATTAATGGTAACTATCTATTGGTAGTATTGGAATCTTGATAGAAAATATCTTTTTTTTTTTTCTCTCTTTGTCCTTTCCCTTAAAAACAAAATAAAGAAAGAAAAAAGAAACAAAAAATAAAAACTACAATGTCATGTCCTTTGGCACGAAATTAAAGACAATTATCATTACAATCTACATGAAAATTGTTTTTTTTTTTTTTCTTTTTTTTGTTTCATAAACAAAAGAATTTTATAATAATGAAAAGAAAACATAAATTTTAATTAATCAATACGATCGTAATACATAATATAGATGAAAATACAGATGAAATATATAATGGAAATGAAATTATCGATTAATGAGAAACATTGATTTTTCGTCAAAGCATTTTTTTAATATCGTAAGATTCTTATGATGCTTTTTCTAAAAGAACATTATAAAAATAGATCACAAAAAAACCAAATTTCGCTTCAATCTTCTTCAAATTAACGAGATCGATTACCATGGTCTCCACATATCAGCATTAGACGAGGATGGACCAGCAGTGTTAGAAAAACCTTGTGAAGAATTTGCATTAGAACGACTTGTATTGGAACTTGTCGAAGATGCATTTGTTGTTCGATCCTCGGCGGAAATGTCATGACTATTTTCATTTCTCTTATCGTCCAACGTTACGGATGACGACGGAGTATCATCCTGTAACTTTTGTTTCTTCTCAGGGATTACGAGTAATCTATCCGAAGGATGTCTTTTGATATCCTTGTTACTTAACGATGTGCACGGACGATTATAAGTCTTATCAGTAATAACTGAAAGTGGTTGCCTTAAACTCGTCGAGGCTATGCAATCTATCTGTTCAGAAAAATTATAAATCGGTTCTTTTTTAAGATTACCATTTACTTCGGATTTATAGTCAAACGAGGTCGATGATATTGGCGATTTTCTATCGCTACTAGAAGTAATCTGAGCTTTTTGAGTGTCTGGCGAACTGGTAAAACTTTTACCACTGCCAGAACTTTGTTCGGGTATCTTGAACTTCGGCTGTTGATGTATTTGAGGATAACATTCCAAATGATGATTCTCTTCTCCGTAGCTAGAGGTGGACGTTGATGGACTGTCAAGTGGACTATGTATTCTATGTACCGATGAGAAAGCCGATGATGCTATCGTTCTGGATATTGATTCTGAGGGATGTGGGAAAAAAGAAAAGTTTGAAGAAATCGCTGCTGATTGTGGGACTAGTAGAGCGAGCTCCCCTGTCGGAAGTCTGCTAGGTATCAACTGAACGCCGTTTGGTATCTGTATCCTGGTGCTAGAGTTGTTATTCTCATCCCCATTGGCTACTTCGCTATGGTAGCCGACCTTTACCTCCGGATAGAGACGTTCCGGCATGTAGGGCACGTAGTGGCCATAGAACGGTCCTATTTGCTGGAGATTACTAACGTAATTGTTTAGGTGTGAGAGTAGACGCTGCTTCACGGCAGGATCGACGTTCTCTAGGTTGCTGACGTACCGCGATACTTCCGTAGCACATTCGGAAAATCCGGAACGGAATTTCGTTAGTACCGCTGGGTCTGTTGCAATTGCAGTACTCAATTGTTGACGCTGTACTGTCTGTAAGTGCTTCACCGTCATTTCGAGAATATCGGCTTTCTCGAGCTTCGAGTGTCTTGTCGGCTATAGAAACAGAAAAAGAAAAAAAATTAATTCCGTAAGAAATAATAAAGATTTTTTATATTAATTAGATATTTAGAAATAAATTTTTTTTTGTTTTTTATTTAATAAATTTCTAAAAGATAAGATCCTTTAATCTTTATCGACCGATAGTATTTAACCGATTGTAGATGAGCCATATTATCGTAGGTTGGTAAAGAAGAAGGAGATATTATTTTATGTCGTACTAGAAGGTATCTGTCTTATCTACCGATGGAAAGACAGATGAGAAAGTTCAAAATGTACTTGTGGAAAATAGAATGTCTTTTTAGTCAGATATCACTAAACATTTTTGCCTTGAGCATCGCTCTTAGACATAAAAGGCGAATACCGATCATGTATCAAAGCAATGACCTGGTAACGCCCATGTAATTGAGTCTACGTAAGTTATTACCATAATGGGAGACTTGTAACATCAGTAGCTTACAACTTATTTCATTGTAAGCCCTGAAGCATGTGATTTAGATTCAGCTATATTTTTAAATTGGAATATTGCTAATATTGTACGTGACTATTAACCGCATACTAGAGCAATGATCGTAATTATTTATTGCACGGTCTTGAAAATTCCTTATTTATAATTATTGTACAAATACTCGATTAATCTTCCATACGTGCCAAAAGAAAAAAAAAAAAAAAAAAGAAAGGAAAAGATAAAGAAAAAAAAAAATTAAACAAATCAGATCGACATCTGAAAAAGTATGGGAAAATCTTTGGTATCGAATGAAATCATTCTTCTTCTCGTGGGAATACATTTGAAAAATATCTTTAAGAATATTTTAGGATTCTACTAGAAACCCTTCCTCCATTCGAGAGCCAGTTATATCCTTCGAAAAGACCTTTAACACCGTTAAGTCGAAACTCTATTGTATCCTTTCGTCCCATTGATATAAAATCTATTCATAGTTTTTATTGTTACAGAACTTACAGTTATAAAAATAAAATTTTATTTGTTCGTCAACAAATCGCAGATGTTAAAGGTATATAAAGTTATAAGAATATTCTTTTAATAAGATATTCGAATGTTAATATATGAGAAATCGATTTAACGCTTTTTAAAATAGAAATTCCAATTTTCCAAATTCGATTTCCGGACCGAGATGCACCTGCTAAAGGAGGGAAGAAAGCACCTCGTCTCTTTCCCCTTTTTTCGCGTAGAACCGAAGGTGGATCCTTAAAGATGATACGGTCAACAAAAGGGAGGCTGGAACCTGAGATGAGAGATTTTTTTTTGCTCTTCGTAATAATTATTTCGTGGTTCTCACGAACGCGGGGGGCGTTTCGTGTGGACGAAAGTGTCTGTGTGTGTGTGTGTGTGTGTGTGTGAGTGAGAGAAAAAGAAAAAGAAAAAGAAAAAAGAGAGAGAGAGAGAGAGAGAGAGAGAGAAAGACAGTGTGTGTTGAACGGACAGACAACGGAGGTAAGCAGGTAGCGGAAGTCATCTGGACGAAAGAGAAGAGAGAACGGTGAGAGCGTCTCGCCTTGTTACATAGCCTGTCTGAGAAATCAATCTTGAAGGATCGTGTTACGCGACGGTGAAGGAGGAGTGCTGGATCTTCCTTCTTTTACGCGAAATCGAGGAAGTTGCCAACGGGATGCATCCTTTTTTCTTTTTCTTTTTTTTTTTTTTTTATTATCTTTTTCTCTTTTCTTTAACCCTACCGACGAGATATATAATAATCTTCTTACGTATAATAAATAATTATGAATAAATTGCATGGACCATTAATCATATATTTCCACGAAAGAAAAAAGAAAAAAAAGAAAAAAAAATTTCTTTTCTCTTCTTTATTACGCCATTAATGTTTTATTATAATTGAACGATGGTATATATTTGAACGATCAAATTTTTTCAATTTTGTTTGCTCTGTTGAAAGCTCCTTTCTATCATTCATTCCCACGCTTAAATACGTAAAATCTAAAGACAAAATCAACTCGAACGAGTGGTTTTCGACTAGAGTTGTCGACAACGGAAGGGGTTGTGGGAGGACGTCATAAAAAAAAATGTAGATAAAAGAAAGGAAAAACGATAATGAAGAAGGATTCTTCCAAAAAGTCTTATCAAACACTTTTATTTCGAATCCATTATACGAATTACTTTCAACGATAGTGACTGTGGATTCATCTTATTATGCATATAACGATCATACATGTGATTGTGACTTGATCAAGTTAATTAGAAATAAATGACGAATTATATAGAAATATATATATATATATATATATATATATATATATATATATTTCAATTATAAATTTTACATGAATGTAATTGAAAGAGGAAGGATTTTCCTTCTTTATTTTTTTCTTCTTTTTTTTATTAATGCTTAGGAACTTAATTTTTTATGAACGACGTAGATTATGACGAAGTGAAACGAGAGAGAGGGAGAGAGAGAGAGAGAGAGAAAGAGAGAGAGTCACACGTACAACGACGAGCAGTAATCTCGTGCTATCATTGGATCGCTTTGCTGATGTAGTCGTTTACTACGAGTTCTACGTTCGTTCCGTTTCGCTAAAGCCATCAAAATATCACGTGCCAAAGGCAAAGAATCGAGAATACAAAATTATATTCGTTGATTTTATAAAGGAAAAAAATATTTCTTAGTGATTCTACTTACGTCTTTCTTCAATGCTTCGAGAATAAGATTCTTCAATTCGTCGAGACATTGATTAATACGTGCCCGTCTCCTTTTTTCCATAATTGGTTTATTATTCTGAAATTTGACATGCGCTTTACTTGATAATAATGTTCTTTTCTTCTTTTCTTATTATTTTTTCTTTTTTTATTTTTCTTCTTTTCTTTTTCTAACGATCATCAATTAAGCAGAGAAAATTTTGTATCGATCGCGTTCTAAACACGTTTCCCGCCTAAATTGTGTAGCAATAGAAAGAACGTATTGGAAAAGTTATACGAATCATAATGAAATACATTTTCTCAAGGATGATTATTCATTAACAATTAATTTCTCTGAATATTAAAACTTTGTTCGTTCATAAAAGAAATAAATAAAGTTCTGCTTTGGATATTAAAGATTAATGAAAAAAAAAAAAAAAATACAAGCAAAAAAAGAAAAGAAAAGAAAAGAAAAAAAAAGAAAAATATAAATGTAAAAATACATATATACCCTTCTGAGCTCGGCTTTGGTCATTCCTGGATGAGCTTGTTGCTCAAAATCCTCCTCGCTCGTTGACATTTTGTAACTATTGTAATCCACCATTTTAAGAATGAAAATGTTTAACTTCAAACAAACATTATTTCAATTGATCATTTAATATACGTGTTCGAGTAGAGTGCAACACACACATATATCGTTGCACTAATTCTCGAATTTAATAAAAAATTCAGAGAGCACTGACACATCACAAAATATTATTCTTTAACATTTTGAAGAAGAGAAATATATATCACATTTTAGTAAACTAGCTTTCCATGCTTTTCTTACAAATGGAAGAATATATTTAAACTAAGCGAACCACCATCCCGCTTAGGGTATTTCAGGGTAACTGTTTGACGTTTTCGATTTCGAAGACCGCATGCCGATGCACTCGCATACTCAAGGAGTGGGGTGAAATGTTTCCTGGAGTGGGGAGAAGGTACCCTCAGGGAGGGGAGACTTTTGGTCCTCCTGAGACCTGTTGATGTGTGGGAATTCACGCCGTCCTCGAGATATACCAAATTCATCGTAATGAGTTCAACTACGACTTTTTTCTCCTTCTTTTTTCTTCTTTTTTCTTTTTTTTTTCTTTTTTTCTTTTTTTCAATTTTTTATCCCAAAACGCGAATGAAACCCAAAAATAGTTAAATATTGAAGTACATCATTAAAGCAAATTTATTAAATGTAAAACAATCTTTTGATGCAACCTTTTTATATAAATTATATAAAACTTATGTAAAAACATTTTAATCTCCTGAAAATGTTTATGCATTTTTTTATAATTTAAAATTAATCTTTAATTGAGTTATAGAAATAAATGTAGCATGCAACTTAGATTAATATTTATTTGTAAATAAAATTTATTAAAAAAAAAAAAAAAAAAAAAAAGGAAAAAAAAATACAATCAAAGAGAGAGAGAGAGAGAGAGAGAGATAGCACGCATGAGGTATAGGAGCGGCAAAGCGTAAAGGCACGCAATAGAAAATCATCTGATAGAGAAAGGGCACACACACGCTGGCCCCTCGTAACAATGTATTAGTGAGTGTGCGCGCGTCATAAGTGTGGCCGGCGTGCGCAATGCGATCCAACGCAATGTGCACGAATGCACGCGAGACAAAAAAGGGTCTCCTGTGGGAATTCTCTTACAACGTTTAAACATTTGTTTGAATGAAAAAATACACTGCTAGAAGAGAGAGGACATCGTGTGTATCCGGAGCGATAATACGTTTCTTCCTTTACTTGCACGCAAAGCTTCGACCTCCTTTTTGAAATATACATATATAAATAAAAATAAATAAAAATAAATATTTTCTTTTCTTTCTTTTCTTTATCTTCTTTTTTTTATTTTTTTTTTTTTTTTTTTTACATCGTTCCCTCGTTCATAACAATGATATTTTAATAATATTCGTACGTTAATATATGTACGTGCGTATTATCGTTTAAAAAATATATTAACAAGAAAATATTGAATATTTTTCAGGTAAAATAGAGAAAGTTTTAGAATGATGGTCGGCACGCTTAGGCGTGCGATGAAATTATTTTTTAAATTATCTATAAAAATGTAAAACTACAAAATTTTTCCATAGAAGAATAACGAATATTGTAACTTTTGAAAACATTTTTAGAATTTACACATTGTGAGGACAAAGTCCTCGTAAGGTACGAAGAAAAGCTTTATGGAAAAACCTCTATTTTGTTGACAAAATCAGTTATTGTCCATTTCAAGAGGCAATCTTAATAAATTGGATACATTTTTATGACACTGGATTATCGCCTTATAGAGAAAGTTTTACTTTAAGAAATTTGACAACTACAAGCTGTATTTCATATTTTTCGTAACTTATTTCACTTATTTATTTCAGCAGGTAAAAATTTTGACAGGTAAAAATTCTTTATTGTGACATGTCATCTTTTTAACGTGATCTTTCAAAAATCACTTCTACGTGCGTGATTATTGGAAAAAAATCGAGTATTACTGGCATTATCTATTTCATACTTTTAATGATTGTTGTTTTTTAACAGTTTAAAAAAAAAAATATATATATATATATGTATGTATATATAAAACAGAAAATAATATTAGACAGCTGTGTTTTTTTTCATTCAAACAAATGTTTAATATATACTTTCCGATGATTTCTTAAAAATCAAAGATCAATATTTCTATTGAACTTTATGTTAAACACTTGGAAAAATAATAAATAGAATAAAGCAGCTGTTCCATGACGAAACTTTAGAAACTTTTGCATTAATATATAATTCGTAGAGCTTAGTATAGGAGAATCAAGAGCAGATGTAGATGAAAATCACATATGAAAGTCAAAGTACCAGACGTAAACTTGAAAAATCAAGATTTGCGAATTAACAAGATGAGATTATCGGATAAATCATTTCCGATCCGTTTGGTCAACATACCGTGGCATGATTACACGATCACAATAACTCAACACGAATCTCGAGATCTACGATAAGTTCTGTTTCATGAACGAAATAATCAGACAAATTTCAAAAGACGTACAATTTCTTTTGAAATCTCACGTACATTTTTAATCCCTTCAGATATAATGCCATTCGTTTTGATAACCATCGTTTAAATTCATTTAATAGCAGCTGCCAAATCGAAAGAGTACAGAACTATTAAATATATATACGAGTTAAGCATTATTTATAACATACATATTTCAAATTGGAAATTCATTAAATGAATAATAAATATTAAGATTTTTTGAAAGATAACACTTCAAACATTTTAATCTCTACGTTTAGAACTTATTCCTAGAAAATTTTTAATATATTTGTAAAATGCCTTTTGAATCTTACGATCAAGGAGTCCTGTTATATCTTGCAAAAAAAAAAAAAGAAAAAAAAAAAGAACGTATTTCTTAACTGTAAATACTTTTAACTTTCATTTCGGGTACTTACTATCTCCACAATATGTCATGTTAAACTGAAGCTTTGTACCTGGGACTAGTATATTATCGTGTAGTGCTGTGAGTAAGAAGAGTGTCCAATGCTTTCTTTCTTTCTCTCTCTTTTTCTCCCTCTCTCTCTCTCTCTCTCTCTCTCTCTCATTTCTGTCCCTATTCCCTCTTCTTCTTCTACTTCTTTTCTTCTTTCTCTTGCATCTGCAAGCATCCAGTTTAAAACTCGGAAGTCCCTCGAGGGTAACGAGTGACTAACTTGAAAGAGAACCATCGACCTTGAATTCTACTTCTCTCTCTCTCTCTCTCTCTCTCTTTTTTTTTTTTTATTATGTGTTCTTCAACTTGATCGACCCTCCCCCGGCCCCCCTTGAATTACGTCAGATCGAGATCCAAACGACGTACCGTTATAATCGTACTTCTTACACATCTGCTTTTAAAGAGAATAGAATCTTTTTATGAATTAACTTGAAGATTCTTTTTCATATTTTTCAATAGAAACAAAAGATGAATAAGAATGTTATGATTGATTGATTGAATGTTATGATTTTATGAAAGAGAAAATTATTTAAAAATTTTACAAGGTTACGTTGATATTCCTTAAAAGGTCGTTTTACCCTTACGAATTTTCAAGGACTTCTATTTCATCTTTTCTCATGATACATAATTTCCCATAAATATTTTAGCTTGCTGTCATAACGGAAGGACGATTGGTCAGATGTCACGACCTTCTCATTAACCTCGAGAAGAAGAAGAAAAAGAAAAAGAAGATGGAGAAGAAGGAGAAAGAGAAGGAGAAGGAGAAGAAGAAGAAGAAGAAGAAGAAGAAGAAGAAGAAGAAGAAGTAGGAAGAAAGGAAGGAAGGAAGAATAGAGGAAGGGGATGGGAAGGGAATGGGAAGAAAAAAACAAGAAGGGCGAAGGAGTCTGAGAGAATCCCGAATGGTTCTATGTTGGCTTGACCACAAAACTTTATCCTTCTCTTTCTTTCTTAAGAGTGCTCAAGAAAGCGAAACAAGTTCGAGGTTTAAATTTGGAGCTCCCACCCCCGTTAAAGGAACCTTTTTCTCTTTTGGATCCCAGGATGGCACCTGCACCAAGTTGTTAACACCCACACTGATCTTCTCGTAGATTTGACAGGAAGGAAACATTATCCTCGAATCCTAAAGATCTTGCTTCCGCTTATAACACGCCTAAATTCACCCTCCTACTCGTTCTATAGTATCTATAATTACTTGCCACTTTACTTTCAATATCAACGAAAGAACTCCCACGGTTTTTGTAAAAAAAAGAAAAAAAAAAAATAAAAAGATAAAAAAAAATATGAAAAAAAAATATGAAAAAAAAAAGGAAAATGAAAAAATTTTCGGAACAAAAATCCGTCCTACTGTATATCATCAAATTCTCATTTTTATTAACATGACACAAATGCTTCCCTTAAAAGGTAACAGCCCTCTTGTTCGTTAGGGGAGGTCGTATGGTTTACATCTGGAATATTAGGGAAATCGTTTGTATTCCATTCATACCAGAAAGCATAACTCGTTTTTATAGAGTGTATGATAAAAAAAAAAAAAAAAGGAAAAGAAAAAAAAAAGGAAACGATTTAAATTTATTGGACAAATGATAATTTTCTAATAATCGTACTACGTTAGACACTTATTTCTAAGGAAATCCCTTTGAAAATAAGAAATATAACGGAAATAAATTATTTATCCATTACGATTGAAAATATTTTATATTAGAATGAAATAAATCTATGGTTACGATATAATATAATTCATTGTGAAAATTATAAGGAAAATTACAAAAGAAAAATATTATTGTGAAAGGGATATTTATTATGAAGGAAACTATACAATTGATATTTTGAAATCTATTTGAACAAATACTATTGTAAATAAACTTAATGCAATAGTCAAAACATGAACATCGGTCGTATATCAAACAAATCCCATTTACTTCAATTATGTCCGGGATTCAATCAGCCTGGCAAATTAGAGCAAGTAAATTATCCATTTTGCGTATTTCCAATAGAGCAATTCGGAGATTGATGGTCTCTATTTTTTTTTTAAGACTTCACTAGATACATTGTTAAATTTAATCGATATCCAATTATTCAGATAAAGTCATTATTTTTTGGTAAATTGTTTTTTATGATTCAAAAAACAAGGAGAACATTTTTGAGATTATTTAATTTCTATATTACAAATAATTTATTTAATTTCTTAATTGAAAACAAACAAGGAATACTATGGATGAGTTTTATTAATAAATGTCAATTCCATCCAGTAAAAATATTTGAAAATTGGATTATCTAGAAAAAAAAAAAAACTCGGGATTACTCTATACATTTTCGGCATTGTACGGATTTCTAATTGATCACTCGAACATCAGTTAACTCATATGTTATTCGTTTAAATTAAATTTCTCATTAATGAACGTAATTTTGTATTATTATAAAAAAAAATATTGATACAATCTATTGAAATATTCATTGTAATATTAATTTATTTCCTTATATCTGATATTGAAAGAAATCATAATAATTTCATTAAATAATTCACGTTGGCTAATTATTTAAATGAAAAACTATATCTATAGGAAGAACATAATAATTTACAATAATTACAACTTGAACGAAAGTATCGAAGTGACAATATCTCTCGAGTTATTAAAGTAAGACAAATCGAAAAAAAAAAAAAAAAATAAAAAAAAAAAAGAAAACGAAGCTATAATTATATGAAACGAAGTAGAAATTTCTAATTCAAAAGAAGAAATACTTTTTCCTGATATGTATAGTAATCAATAATAATCATTCGGTTTTGCTGAATGACGTAGATTCAATTGCGAAACATCGAGTGGTACCAGATCATTCTTAGGTATACCCTTCCGCAACTAGACTCCTCTTCATCTTCCCTTTAACCCTCCTCCTTCCCTTTCCGACGACCTTAAGCTCGCAAAAGTTCTAGCTGTTCGTGGGCCAAAAGGACGTGCAAGGCGATCACCTGGCGACGGTTCCCACGTTTCTGTGATTCGCGTTTGGCTTCACCCTTTGCCATACATTCCGTCGTCGTGACGGTGGATTCCAGAAGTCCCATAATGGGCACGTAGTACGCACGTAAGTGGGGAGGTAAACGTGCGAGAAAGAGTGAGATGGAATGAAACAAATAAAGAAAGAAAAGAAAAGAAAAGAAGAAAAAAAAGAAAGAAAAAGGAAAGAAGAGGGTAAAGGCTGGGAAGGGCGGGGGGGGGGGGGAGGGAAAGCTTAAAGAAACGAGCCTTGCCTCGTGCATCTATTATAGATGCCCCTGACCGCTATGTCGGTTCGCGTGGCTGACACACGAGGGACCCGCGCCCAGCATATTCGACGTTTTATTGCTCGAAGAAAAAGAAATATCTAACTTGATGCTTTCTCCCGTAGAAGAAACGAAAAAAGGTCAGGTATATTTCTATTTGCATAGAAAGCCTGATATTTTCTTTACACAAGACGAAACTTTGATTTTTTTTTTTTTTTTTCTTTTTTTTTTTTTTCCTTTGCCGACAATCGTGGGAGGTTTTCGTTTTGATTATTTGTCTCCTTTTCTTTTTATCTCTTCTCCTTGTGGGAATATTTCTTTTTTTTTTCTTTCTTTCTTTCTTTCTCTCTTCCTTTCTTTCTTTAGAAAAAGAACTTAAGCGATAGTAAGTTCGGGAACTTACTGTTACTTGCACGTACGACGTTACTTCTTTCATAGTTTTTTAATTCCATTTGTATTAATGTAACCACGAACGTGATAATTCTTAATGGAAAAAGATACACTTAAAGTATATTCTAAATGTACTTAATAATTTTATATTGATAAATCTATGATGGGCATATACTTTATTATTTTTTTTAATTTTACGTGAGCTCTCTGGTATTGTTTTTTCGATGCGACGTTCGAAGATGTAAGGGAACAAGTAATTGGAGGAGAAAGTTTTTTTTTCTTTCTCTTTTTTTTTGTTTTTTTTTTTTTTTTTTTTTTTTTTTTAATCGGTATCAAATTTTCCAAGCAAGCCTCGAGAAATAATCGAACGGTATGATTATTAGCTCATAAAACGAGAGAGTAATCTCGAATAATACTTCGTGATTATTCGCTTTGTTATCGTTCAAGAGGTAACTAAATCTTAGCGGTGCATCCTATCGAAATAAATCCCGTATTAAGGAGCAGTTCAGAAATCCGGTAAAATCATTCGTCGGTAGATCTTTAAGTAATATGATCTATTTAATCTCCATCCGTCCACTGTCCTACATCATTTTGGACCGACCGTGGGATTTAAGATTATTTCGAAGTTGTTTAGTCAAAAATGGTAATCCTGCCAACGATACGGAATTGTTTTCGTATAGTCCTCTTTACGATCTTTCCTTTGGAACCGTAGGAGGACCATCCTGTAACAGGTCCACCCTTTGAATTACCCTTTTCCGTCCTCGTATCCCTTAAATAGCATATCCGGATTGACTCAAAGGGTACTTTGTTTTTTCTTTGATAAATCTAGCAAGCTGAATATACTAAACTTTCCTGATACTAGTTTGTTATCCGAAAAGATTTTTAGTCAGGCATATCATATAATTCATAATAATTACAATACGCGAAATGTGTGCCTATGGAAGTGAATGAAAACAGTCTATGGATTTATAGCACGAAATCGATTAAGACAAAGAGTAAAGCTATGAGCCAAAGCAAAGGGTCACGCGAGATCTAATTTCATGGGACATGCGAAGTTGGCCTCGCGACCTTGAGCAATGATTTCAATGAAGGCTAGCCCAACAGGTTGTTGTTGTTGTTATTGTTGTTGTTGTTGTTGTTGTTGCTACTGCTGCTGCACCAGCAGTAATACGGCGATGAACAGGAACGCGTGGCCGACCAGGAGAAACAGCAGCCACTGGTTCGCTGTGCTTAACGCGTTGCTGAACGTCGCTGGTCCTCTTGGACTCAAAAAGAGGAAGGGAAGATGAAGAAGAGAGAAAAAGAGGGAGAGAGAGAAAGAGAGAGGGAAAGAGATGAAACGTAGGAAAGAGAAAGACAGAGAGAGGGAGAAGAGTGCTGGTGAGAACACACCGCGCCACGCGTTCCCACCATCCTCCTCGGGCCTCTTCGGCTCTCACTTCGGATATATTCGTTCTCTGCTCTTCGCTCCCGATATCTTGCACCGCTAAAAAGCCCTCCCGTGCTAACCATGGACCCCCATGGATTATTTTTCTCTTTCTCTCTTACTGAGGGATGCAGATCTCTCTCTCTCTCTATCTCTCTCTCTCTCTCTCTCTCTCTGTTGTAATCTTTTTTATCAAATTCTTTTTCTCGACATTTCTTTTTCATTCATTCTCGTCCGATTTGCCTGCTAAACTTTAGATTATTCCTAATATCATGATGGCTTCATTTGCCTATTGTATTTTTAACTTTCATCCAATTCTTCGATTGTAAAATCTAGAACTAGATTGAAAGAATGATACTCCGTAATTCAGATAAGTATTGATGATGTTATGCTCGTGAATCTTTTTTACATTGAAAAATAACTATGTTATATGTATCATCAAGTCTATATGGATTATTATTGAACAATAGATATTTTGTAATTATTTATAAACATTATATATCCTTAAGATGATTAAGTAAGTACATTTCTTTTATTATTAATCATTGTATAGTAAGTTACTGTATAGAAAACAGAAGATGTAGGAATAATTTGTCGTAGGAAAGGATGCTGTTAAATAAGTAGAAAGGAACTAATTAAGGTGAATAACAAATAAGATATACCGAACTTTACAACTACTTTTCATAATGCAGAAACTACCTTTCCTATGGGAACGATGGTGGTAATTCGACCGAAGAAAAACTTGCTAGACTAAGTAGCTCTATGCAAATCTTCTTATCCTTAGCTCATGAGGAAAACTCGTCATGAGGGAACGTCATCTTGCATTAATTAATCATCTGCAAAACTTCCGCGAAAAAAAAAAAAACATTTTGCTTCCATAATTTATCTTACTACAAATCGATTCTTAATTTTTTTTGTTCTTACATCTACTTGAATACGACGCATTTATATTTTGAAATAATAATTTATCATTTTATCTAGATAGATAAACGTATGTTCATTTTATCGATCAACTTGGAAAAGAGGAAATTGAACAACGTTGAGTTCGCAAGATCGATGATTATGATTACCCGGTAATCATCGTGCACATGAACGATTTAGATATATTAGATAAAATGTAATTATTGGAAAGTAAAAAATGTTCTGTGTAAAATTTATCTTATTTTTTTGTTTTGTTTTATTTATACTTAGTTTTCTGTGATACTTTGGCCGAGCAAAAATTATTTTGATTTAACAGTCGGACACAATCGAGGAACAAGAAATGTAAACGGTATTGCGTTTAGAGCCACATCAGCTGTTTTAATACGATGTTGCTCGTGCTGCTCGTATCAAAAGTTAGGGTACCAAACAATGCAAGCGTCTTTTATGGATTAAAGAACCCCTCTTGTGAATGTCTTCGATTTTTCGATGGTAAGGAACGTGGCACAAGTCTACATATCACCTGTCATCTGATTTATCGAATTT